CCTTTAAAACCCCTTGTAGGTTGGTAAGCCACGTCTTCCACCTCTCTTGAGTTTTGTGCTTTTTGTCATGAAATAGAGCCAGACCTAAATCTACTTTCAGGTCTTCGTGTTTTTGTGCTGGAAGTTTCCACCACAGCTATTCCATCAACTCAGTTTTTCTGTTATATGTATATAGACTATCTCGAAACCGTACTCATGGCCCACGAACCTCCTCATAGAACACAATTATTTCCGACTGCCACTGGTGGGCGACATGATAAAATACCGAGTTTCGAGAGAATCCAGCACACACGGCAGAGTGCAACCTCCTTTGCCGGCAAACTGCACTCACGTGAAACAGCACTCTCCCGAAACGCGGTTCCAGCTCAAACCCGAGTCTTCCCATCACAGCTCCTGGGCTGCACACTGTCCAGTGCAAAGTGAAGACCGCCAGCCAGTGAATGCGGCTGCCGATAAATCTCCCCTAGGTGTCCTGCCTGCCTCTACTACTACTACTATGAAGCAGTCAGTTCCACCGCCAGCATACACCGCTGGTCGTATAAGAGGCTCCCGGGAACTGGCAAATCTTTTCACACCCGTCCAAAAGTCAGAAATCGAACGGTCCGCCAAATCCATCGGGCGCCCCGCCGGTGATTTTGACTATCAGAAAGATGAGGCGAAACCGGTGAAAGTAAAATTTGCGGTACGACCAGAAGAGGAAAAAATGGTAAATGTCTTCTGTCTGTTCAGTTTACGTATTTAGAATCGTTTTACATTTGTCACGTGTAGAACATTTGTCTCGTGGTAGACATTTGAAAGCATCTTCCCCGTACAGTTGTTTTTAATAAAAGTGGGCGTTTGCTTTCGACACATTAGCACATAGAATGCAGTAAACGTAGAAACTCTTTGCGTCTGCTTTCAAAATTATTTTACGCACTCGCAAGAGAGACTATTAATCAGACCCCTCCCCCTCTAGATATCCTTCTGGAGATCTAGGTCGCTGACGAACTTTCCACAGTGTGTTAGAATGATGCATAATTTGCGTCCGAGCTCGGCCGCCAAAGATCCGAAAATACAGGTTGCTGCAACCCCAGCTGACTGCCACCCCCAATCACTAGTGCTGCATTGTAGTTTACCCCTTTGTGTGCAGCCCTTCTTGATCCACAATATACCCAGGGTCGGTGATTTGCAACATGCAATTACAATTTCACACTGTTCTCTTTTCGCCCCCTAGTTTATCCGAATTCCTTTCCTCCTAACACTAGGTATTGGCTCAACTGCAAATCTAAACCATCAAGTGGCTTTTTCGTTTTAGATCCTCACGTCCTTCCTGGACATTGGCATGGACAGTGAAGATATCGCCTTCATGCACGAGCTCTTTGAAATGATTCGTTCTGCAGAGCACTCGTCCGCCTGCGCATCTTCCCTCAACGCTCTCTTCTCTCACTGCAAAATTCGCAGCCCAAACAAACTCACAGACTTGATCAAATCCACGGCCTGGGTAGATCATCCCACCTCTTTGATTCCTGACCCAGTTGACGTCAATGTTTTTGTCGATCGCACCGGTCGCCTCCGTCCTGGCTGCGCTGCATTTGCAGCCCCCGACTACTTCGGAATAGAACGGGGTCTAAGTGGTTGGAAGCGGAGGAAGGACATGCTCACGTCTGGGCGTAGAGATAACAGAAAGCGTGTTCGGCGCTTCCAAAAGCATGATATCTCCTGTTCGGACATGTCTGACAATTCCTTCGA